CGACGGCATCTAAATATAATAAAACTCACGGGTTTTTATGTGGTGATAATCTATGTTCTAAAAAATAATTGTATTTAAATGTGATTCTTAAAAATATTTTAGAAAACAATAACATTATATTATAATAACTGATAGAGATCAGTCACTAGAACCCACAGTTCCCAATACAAATAATTACAGTACATCTCTGTTCACTCATATCGCAGTTACTAGGAAAACATAAAGTGTCAGAGTAAATTGGACGGAACGGTACGCGGGCAGCGTTCGAAGGAGAGCGGTGCACGTGCGCCGTCTTCATAAACGACGCGGATTGGCGGGGCACAAGCTCAAGTTTGACGTGTATACTGATAGATTTACAATATTAATCTTTAAAAATATCTATGTAAAGTTTTTTTTATATATGTCTGTGGCAAGGAATCTACGAAAATGAACATAGCCGTAATATAGTTGAGATTTTTTATGTAATAATCTGGTAAACGAACGGACGGATCATTTGATGGTTAGTAATCGGCGCCGCCTATTAACACGTGAAACAGCTATGTACCTAGGAGATAAGGAATTTGAGGATTGTTGAGGATTGGGGAGATTGGAGAAAGGGTAATTGGGCCTCCGGTAACCTCACTTATACGACGGAACACAACGCAAGCGTTGTTTCACGTTGATTTTCTGTTAGGCCGTGGTATCACTACGGTTGAGCCGGCCCTTTCGTGACGAGACATAGCTCTCCCATACTTGCTACGAAATTAACAAATGCATAGTCATAAATGTTTAATAGACAATACTAATATTACTTTACTTTTTTACTATCCCAAAGGTCATGTATTCCCTAAATCAATTCTTCCACAGGCTGGCAACACACTTGTGACTTCTGTGTAACTGCTTGTAACCCACCTTTGCCTACTCCATAAAAAATTACTCACAGGCTACCAACATTCAACGGTTACGACACGTCACCACAGCACACCCCGCCAGGAGGCATTTCATTAAAATTCACTTGTTACCGTATAATTGCACCAAACAAGGGCAGTTGAAATGATAACAACTTAAATTAAATTAAATTTTATTAAAATCCCGAAAGCAGTTACGTCATTCGCCCACGGGATACATGTACCCTGCTAATGAGGTCTTTGTTGAAAACAATGTTTTTTGTATTCGTTTCAGAAACTGTATTTTTATAGCCACATCTATAATTGACATCGAAGTAGTTCGTTTGTAACTTTAAAAATTAACTGTAAGAAAATTGTTTAAAAGATATGTTTCTATATTTTCGATATGAAGAAAATTACTAAAATTCTACTAAAACGGTGAAAGTAGCAATTTATTATGTAACTTATATTTTTGTCTTAACAATACACACAGCACATTTAGACCAAAACAGCGAGCAAAAAGGCCACATTTAAAAGTTTAACTTGATCATAACGCAATATCAACCCACACCACGTTAAAAAAGGAAAAATGTAACTAGAGCGAACAATATGTACATATTTATACAAAAGTGCCCCATTTTAAATTGCAGCCTACGCAGATTAGCCTAATGTAATGGGGATACATTTTAATGCTTCCATTTTCTCCAAAATACCCCTTATTCCCCCCACTCTCTCTCTCTCTACCCCACTTTTATGCTTTCATCCGAAAGTGTTCATGCTTTCTCGAAAACCTTTAATATTATTTTGCTTAGAAGCCCCGACTTTTCTTTACGAGGAAGTTGTTAAATTACGGATAATTTATACTTCAAACGGTGTAAGAAAATTGAAAATTATGGAGTTGATAGCATATAATTTGTAGATCCCAAAAAACTTGGCGTGAAAGAGGCGCCAAGTTATCTGTTAAGAAAAAAATTAAACAATAAGTTATTATTACGAGTTTTCTTCGTTTAAAATTGTTATCTATAGCTGACCTTTTGTTTTTTAAACAGGATTTCTTACTTAGAGGAACCAATCGTAAAATAGCTTATAGTATAATCGTAACAGAAATAATGTTTATAATTTATATAATTTTGTTCATGCTTAAACATAAACATTATTATTTTTTAATTCTTAAGACAGAGAATATGATACCTATGACTAAAGAAACAAGGATGTTACGTTAGCATACTACCAAAATACATAAAAAAACGACTAAAAGAATCTCTACATCAAGAACTACTACTACAACACGCTCAACTTACTTACATCAACTTCATAACACAAGTCGTATTGTAATTCCGTTTAAGGTAAACGGGAACAATACGTTCCCCGTCATACATCACGGACCGGACCGGGCCGTACACGGCTTCTATTTATCGGAACCGTCGACGTTATCCGGCCATTGTTTCGCTGTCAATTACCGTACGAAAGTCTGACGTGGCGAATATTCTTTGGGTGGAAACAGAAACTTTTTTTTTGTTTTTTTTTTGTGGAGTAAATGTGTGAGGGATGGTTTTCTGACTTCTATAGAATCCTGAGATGATTATGAGTTTTTATTTAAGATGAGTAATAGGGTAGATGTTAAGTTCCTAAGTTTTATTTTAATGTCCGTCTGGTAGATTATTTTAAATGATTAGACACGTATTTTTTATTTTCTTACAAAAACGAATACTTTCGACGATATATTGATTTGAAATGTGGCGTTACGTCATTTCTATGTACATTTTATACGTAGAAATGACGATTTAGCCCCAACTCCTAAACTTTAATACGTTTTATCTAAATATTGTTATACTTATTGTACAAAAAAATAAAAAAATACGTCCCTAATATTTTTTCATTACCTAACTTACGGAATAATTATATTTCTAATTTTCATACCCTGTCATCACCCCAATTGTGTGTACTCATAAATATAATATTTATCGTACGCTAATTAGTGATTAGTCATAAGTGCGAACGACTAGACGAAGAAGGATTTAAAATTTATTTTGCCTATTTGGACAATTTATTGGAATCTTTTCGGAATCGGTTTTTCGAAAATCCCTCATTACTTGCACTTGAGTCTCCTTGATAAGAGGGATTAAAATAATCACCACGTTTGGCAGACAGGACGTATATCTTAGATGTAGGTTTATCAGAGAGAACCACTACTGGCCCGTCTGTGCAAAATATGTAGGGTCTTACTAAACCCGCGGCAAGAGTCGCGTTAGCTGTAATCTCAGTTAATTAGTTAAGCCATGTATTTATAAACTACTTAGTATTTCAACGCAATCAGATTATCCATTGGAGCGTCAAGTCACTATGTCCAATGTAATTTGTGGTGTTTGACGTGTCATTAGATCAACATTTCATGTCAAACGAATCGTTTACCGTTCAAAGTCCTATTGAAAAAGAACTTATTTGACACAATGTGATAATCCAATTTGACTTTATAATAACCTTACAGTATAATGGTCTCTATTAGTGAGCCATTAAGTTCAAAACATTAATTACCTTATTTTTATAGCTAGACAAATTAATGTTTATTCCTATAAAATTTACAATCAAATAAAATGTTCGAAATACGAATCTGGACATTCGTAAGGTTAATTAGAACGAATGGAACATCACTTTTCTTTTTGATAGTTGAAATACTGTAGTTTTTTTTTTATTTTTATGTTTAGTTCACAGTTGTTTTACATAATATATTTTAGGTATATATCACACACAGCAAAACTGTGGAATGATCTGTCGTCGGCGGTATTTCCGAACTGATACGACCGTCAAACAAAAGACCTTCAAGAAGAGCGTATTCCTTTTTAAAAGGCCATCAACGCACCTGTGACTCCTCTGGTGTTGCGGATATCCATAGGCGACGCTGATCGCTTACCATCAGGTGATCCGCCTGCTCGTTTGCCTACAATCCTATAAAAAAATGTAATAACTCAGATATGTTGGATTTTTTTTTTCGGGACATTTCTGACATTCCACTCGCGTGATTATTCTTCGCTCTGGTTGTCTTGATACATTACCACTACCTTTCCATTAAGACTAATTTTTATTTTAAATTTCAAATATTTGCAAGTGAGAAATATTAGACAAATAAAATGGAATATATTATCGAGACGTAATCATAAGCGAATTCTTACAAAGCATTATTTTTCTTTCATTTTCAGTTCAACTACCACTATAATATCTTCAAATACCACACTGTCCTCACGACTGCATCGTTAAGACGCGACTGAACTTAATTAAAAGAAAACACTAATTTAAATAAGAAAATAGATATTTTTAATTCTAGAAAAATATGTTACAAAATTATTCTTAGCTAGCGAAAATTGAATTCTACACACTAATGAAAAAAGTTTAAAATATAATGTAATGCGTATGAATAGGTATGAAGTTGTAAATTCTCGAGATGAAATGTCTTACTTTGTTTTGTTTTTATTTTAAAATGGGTCGGCCATATTCTTTTTTTAAAAGTTGAATACATTTTTGTTAGCTAGAGCTACTATTTACATATGTAAATGCTTTTTTAAATTAAATTGTATACAAAAGGTATGAAAATAAGGTATATTCTAAAGAATTCAATGACACCAAAAAGGTCTACGGATTAAACTAACACAAGTATGGAGAAGCATTAGATATCTCATCAACTCAAATGTAACGAAGATAAATATTTTTTCAAAAATGAACCATAAGTTATATTATTTACAAGGTACCTACACTTTGTACGTGTTTAAAATCAAATATGGCAGACCGACAAGCCTTTTTTAATACACGCAATTATTTAAAAAAAATACTCTACGATATAAAAAAACATCTGACATGACACGTAAAAATAAACATTATTTGACAAAAATGAATAATGGAAATATGAGAAATTATTTTTATAATTTAAATAAAATTAAAATTACTTCTACAATGTTAGTGTGAAAATTGATGTTGGATGCGTGATATGGTGTTTACGAAATTAACTTTATTGTATAAAAAAATTAAGTTGGACTTTGATTGAATATTTTGGAATCACAAAGGCTATTTTCGATGGGTTATTCCAAATTACTTATGTTACATTCTCTACAATAATGGCGTTTTGTGTTGTTGTCTGCTATTCTAGATCTTTCTGTAGTAGATTCCGTGAGATGGACGGAGTTCATGGGACGGGGCTTCCTCCTCAGGTTTGGGTTTAGGTATGAACGGGTTGTGGTAAGGATCTGCGTTCAACCTGGAACGAGAACAATAACATATTAATTTATTTACACAATACTTAATTCATTTTCAAGAATCTAGCTGGTATGTGACAGTGATGCGGACGAATTCTTCGACGCCTAACTGATGGTTTTTTTTTTGTTTTCGTTTTTTTAATCACTGTTTTCGTTACATTTTATTTTAAGTTGTAACATAACATAACATCACGCCTTTTTATCCCCGAAGGGGTAGGCAGAGGTACACATTTCGGCACTTAATGCCACTGTACAATGTAACACCCACTTTTCACTATTTATGTTATGAGTCCCATGTAATAGGGGGTGAGCCTATTGCCATAATTATACCGGGCACATTTCCAGACTCCGTGCTACCACTGAGATTTTTAAAAACCCAGTAATACTTTACCCGACCCGGGAATCGAAAAACCACTCGGCCAACGAGGTAGTATTTTAAGTTGTATTTTATTCATAATTATGTTATTTAAGTGTTTTAAAGCAAAAATTTTGTTAAGTATGTTTGCCTACAATAATGTTTTTACCACAAAAGATTCAAGGGCTTTGTTAACCATCATACTGTCTCTGTACCAAATGGAATCAACCGCCACTTTCTTACCCTTATACTTAATATTTTACCTGAATTTACGTTTATTATTAAAAAAGTACTAATACGTACTTGTAAAGCGTGATGGCCTTAGAACAGTCGACGTTGTACCACCAATCGCAGGCGAACTTGGCCTGGTCGAAGAGTGTACCGTTTGTACAGAGGAATGAAGCTCCCTGCTGACCCTCGCGACCGTCATGGCAGACATGGTAAGCCTGTAAAAGATTGAAAAGATGTTATGTAAAAATGAAATGAAATGTCAAGTTCATACAATTGAAAATGGGTTGATTATGTGGTTTCTGCATAGCATTTTAATACTATACCTTAAATTATTTGAATATAAAAACGTTATACGATACATCGCGCATCGTCGGCTATCGGAGAATCTGCCTTAAATGATTTAAACAAATATGACCGATGAATAGGTATTAACTATTATTTTGGAAAATAATATAGTTGCTACAACTTTACTCGTAACAACCACATAATTGGTTTATTATATCAATTTGTTCACATTTAAAAAAATATCTTTGACAATATCATTATTATTATGGTATTAAAAAGTTCTGAAGAAACAACTGAATGTCAAGATATAGCTGGAAGCTACAAATAATTAGTTCGAGATTTGTCTTGATTTGCGAAGACCAAGTTTTTGACATTTGTACTAAAACAATTTCAAATATAATATACTCTTTTAGATTTTTTAGTGGCACCCATAGCCTTTTTTTAAGGGGGGAAAATCATCCAATGACTGCCCCCGCCTGGGTGAGGCGGGAGGGAGTGTCAGACTCTTACTGACTAAAAACCACCCCGTTCCTTCTCCTGCACGTCGAGCCGGAGCCCCGGTTACCCGTTAGGTTCTCCGCGATTCAAATAATAAGTTGGAATTACAATCGAAGCCTTTAAGGTTACTCGAGTACGACCATACCTTGAAACTTATTCAATTTGGTGAAATTACTCGGCCATTATTCGACCACCCTGTAGTAACCATATAATTAGGAATCTGAACTTTTTCGAAGTAATCGAGTTAAAATAATGGGTTTCTTTCGTTAAACTGTAATTTACTTGTAAATACAGACAACATGTACCGACCCATGTATTATTATGTAGACAGATTTTCAGGTTTTTATAGGATATTTAAACGCAAAAATATATTTAAAACTGACTAACGTCACTTCTCAGTATATTTTATACTAAGAAATGACGTTTTAGCCCCCACTTCTAAACTTTGATTCGTTTTATCTAAGTATTGTTTTATAATACGACAAAATAAAAAAATACTTGTCTAATATTTTTTTAATTACCTAACTTACGGACTAAATAAATTTTTAATTTTCATACCCTGTCATCATCCCTATTGTAACACCTATGAACCTAGATGTGTGAACATCTATATATTTAACTAGGCGTGGATTACAATAATAGTCTCGGATTACAAAAAAAAATCAAAATAAAAAGTTGAATAATGATAAGACTTACACTCGACTAAATGTAACTTCAAATAACTGAATCTAAAGGACAGTCTATTTTTATATCCCAGTTTATTTACAACCCAACGGTTTCATACTTTCATTCTCTAACCATAATATTAGAAATATATCTTGTACTACTATATATATTACGTGTTTTTTTTTTTTTTTAAGGGGGGAAAATCATCGAATGACTGCCCCCGCCTGGGTGAGGCGGGAGGGAGTGTCAGACTCTTACTGACTAAAAACCACCCCGTTCCTTCTCCTGCACGTCGAGCCGGAGCCCCGGTTACCCGTTAGGTTCTCCGCGACTCCGAATCGGCATCGGCCCTATTGGGCCCCATCTGTGGTGGTCTGATGGCTCTTTGAGGCGCGCGCGGAACGCGACGCGCCGTACGCTCGGGTCTGTTTCTGGTCGGACGGGGAGCCACCCATGCTCGCCGTCCGCAGGCCCGCGCTTACGGTGGCCGGAGATCGTCCCGCGATCCCCGACGCCCGGTGTGTCCTTCGCGATGGCTGGGTTGCGAGGAGGCAGCGCTTCGCTGCCTCACGAATAGAATAGCCCACAGGAAACAATACGTTGACATTTAAACACACATGTAAGACCTTTAAGTAAAGGTAGGTGGCGCAGAGTAAAGAATAAATTAGATGCGGCATCTATAACTTTTTGGAGGTTTTGGGCGAACATATATAATCCAATCATCTCGATATAAAATTTGTCAAAAAAAGATTACGCGCGACAAAAACCAGTGTTTTTGTTTTCATGATTTTGTTGCTGTATCTTTTTAATACAAGATGTTTTGTAATGAGTATTACATTATGTGTTATAATGACTAAATGACTACCTATACAGTAGTCTTCTTATAAAGCTGTGTAGGTTATAGTAAAAAACAATTATTTTAAGTCCGATAACGATTGTGCCTATACATATTTTTAATTTACAACCACTTTGAGGTATATTGGCATACTTTTACTGACTAAAATTGCGTGTATTTTCCAAATTAAAATGTAATGTGTGTTGTATTTAAGATTATATTATCTACCTCATCTTCTCTTTCGACGATCTAAGGTGGTGCCATAACAAAAGATGTTAGAGTAAATAACGTTACCCTTACGTACATGTCGCTGAGCCCTTTCGCGACCCGTTTTTGTTTTTCAATGGGATCCCTATTAATTAGTGAGTATGAGTATGTTTGACTCACATGAACAAATATTTTCTTTGAAATATTTACAAGGTTTTGTTCTTCATTGAAAATATATTAAATCCGTGGGCGAATTTCTTTTATTGTGGGGTCAGGAAAATAAACAGGGATAGTTAAAAATAGAGCTTTGTTAAACTTGTTTTGGGTAAGTAAATATGTTATGACGGTAAGTCTATTTTTAGATTGATATTATGTGTTGTAATGAAGGATGAAAAATAAAACAAATCTGCATTTGTTTACAATACAAACAGTATTAGTACTGCTACTAATTATTACGGCAAAGGTTGAAAAATAAGACAAAATACAATACAAAAATGCATGTCCATATTTAGAAAAATTTGCAATATAATGCAACCTTAATAATATTTGATAAGCATTTATGTATGAGAATTACTTAAAGTGCTAGGACTTAAATTAAGTTATTTAAATTCAAAATAAAACTCAATAACACGACAAACTCCAGTGTGTCATACACCTAATAAGAGGCAACGCAATAAATCAGTCGAGCTATTATCCATAGGATTCAGAGCTTCAATCTCAACGCCATCCCATCTATCATTTGACTTAGCGTCATCTAAACGGGAACCTAATTCCATATATTGTAGCCTGTCTTCTGTGTTCTATGACAATCAATGGGTAATAAAGCAAGAGGTAAGCCAAAATGATATCGATTTTCTTTAAGTTCAAACATGGACATTCAATATTAATATAAAGATGCTCCCACACAGCAGTTATATAACGTTGTACCACATTGTATAACACGATAATATTTATAATAGCGTGTAACATACTCTACAACATGTCAAGTTACAACTACAATTTTTGTAATAATTTGTTTAAAACCAAATGTTAAGTCAGTCTCTACGTCAAAGTCAAAATCATTTGTTTTAATTAGACCAGAAAGGCACTTTTGTACGTTAACAAAAAATTTAAAGTGACGCTATTTGCTCATTCCAAGGTGTAGAATTAGCTATTTACTCATTCTCATCCTATGCAGAAGAACGAGCAAGAAACTCCATATATCACTCTTTTTCAATCAGGTTAGAATACAATACAATTCTCTAACGTTATATAACTGCTGTCTGGATCCTTTAGAAATTCTAGAGACGCAATCGGTAAAGCGCGTACAGTAACTAAAATCTGCAACTAACTCCTACTTATATTGCTTCAAAAAACTATTGACAACAGCAAAATTATTTAAGTTTTGATTTCATTGGTGTTAGTTTCATATAAAATGCGAAATATTATACTTTTACCGCTATATAATAATTTTAACTTGAATAAATAATATCATGGTGACTCGGAGGTTTTAAGAAAGTTACCAACGGCAACTACCAATGCGACTTTTTCCGAGTGACATGTACTTTGATTATTTAGAAACCAAATTTCTAATTATAAGGAAATCGCCAACCCGCATTGAGCAAGAGTGGTGATTAATGCTCAAACCTTCCCCGTGTGAGAAGAGGCCTTTGGTCAGCAATTGCCACTTATAGGCTGTTGATGATGATGGTGATGATGATGAATAAATAATGTTACTATGCTAGAAATTCTTTTATAACAATCAGATGTCAAACAGCCATTCAAAAAGAACTGAAATGCTCTTAAAAATAAAATCGTCCATGCGGTTTATGATAGCAATTCACCAGCACGAAATTACAACATCGCTTTAATGAATTTACTGAAGAAATATGGGGTCGCAAATGTGAAGTGCATTTTAATTCTCAGCTCGGCAACAGTTTTGTCATAAAACGAGTGAATTAAAACTCATTTTTTACCCCCAACAAAGAACGAAATGAGAATGGTAAATTACTGTATTTATTCTCTTTGTGTCCGTGTCGAAATAATGAGATTATTGCTGAACAATCATAATCAAACTATCATCAATTGTTCCGATACATTGCCTACAGGCGGTAATTAAGCTTTATTGACTGACATTCCATGTATTACATATCACTGTTGGTATGAATTTAGCTTGTAATTACGTTTTTGGTCTTAATTAAGTGCATTTATTGTTTTATATTTATTTTGTACTGGTTTTCATTCGTGCTTTGGCTTGCCTTTATAGTATAAAAAGAATACCACTATGCTTTATCAGATTTAACATAAATTAAACACTATCTTCAATTAAAAGTACCTTTAACTGACGAGCATGCATGAAAAGATTGATGACTGTTGATGAAGCGAAAGAGGTATGTAGGAATCGTAGTAATTGGCGTTCCCTAGTCTCTGCCTACCCCCATGGGAGACAGGCGTAAAGTTATATATGTATATATGTAACCACAATCTCTTTAGTTCGTTTACTAAATCAGTATTAGACACATACAAATAGCAACGACATTATTAGAGCTCATAATAACAGTAGGTGACATTTTAGTTACGTAGCCTAGTTACTTATTTGACTTCAACTAGATTTTACTTTTTAGTGTGAGGTCACTCAAGTACTTCCACAGTAAGGCCCCTTAATCGTGAGCTGAACAATTACGTAAATAGTTAACGGAATACAAATGCCTAAATCACTACATAGTATAAAACAATGCCGATATTCGCCGTCTGTCTGTCCCTACGTATACGTAGATCTTTAAAACTACGCAACGGATTTTGATGCGGTTTTTTAATAGACAGAATGATTGTTTAGGAAATTTTATATGTATAATACATGCCTTTTGCATCCGTGCGAACCTGGGTGGGCCGCTAGTAAATTATAATCGAAGATAAACTTACCTGGCACCCAGTCTCTACATTGGCATACATGCCAGGCCTCACAGGAACATGGTCACAGGAGAAGCTAGTGTCTGGCACGCTGTGGTATATGGGGAAGTCGACTCCTGGCGTACCAGGCACGTTGCGAAGGTCCTGTGGCTTCTCGTGTTCACGCAGTGGCTTCGGGCGAATGACGGCTTGCTCGTAGTGTGTTTCATATGGATCGTATTGCTGGAAAGAAGGAGATATTTTAGTTGGTTTGCTAGTAGAATCGCTGAGTTCAGCTCGTCTTTAATAGATAGAACTAAAAGCCATTTGGAGAGTGCTATAGCCTGCAGTGGATGTCTCATTAGACAATCTGACGAATTCGATTTTGGTTTAAGACAATAGGGTAGATACCTAACTTTTATTTTAATGTCCGTCTGGTAGATTATTTTAATTCATTAGACACGTATTTTTTATTTTCTTACAGAAACAAATACTTTCGACGATATGTTAATTTGAAATGTCGCGTGACGTCACTTCTATGTACATTTTTATTGTAGAAATGACATTTAGCCCCCACTCCTAAACTTTGATTCGTTTTATCAAAGTATTGTTTTACTCTATACGGCAAAATAAAAATTACGTGTCTAATATTTTTTCAATACCTAACTGACGGACTGATTAGATTTTTAATTATGAAAATTAACCCTGTCATCATCCCAATTCGTGCAATTAAATTATTGCTTCAACATTGTATGTAGACAGTTTTTCTTGCCTTAAGTATGATGTCTACAGGAACTATAGGTATCTACCTATAGATAGATAGATACATTGAAAATTCAGTTAGTTTAACCCGTTGAAATTCATCCCATACAAAAATAGTCTCTAAACATTGGAAATAAGGTCTATAATGTAGTTAGTGGAGAGCGGTCACCGGTGACCGCTTGAGGATGTATGGTTGCTATCGATTTCTTTTCTTATTCTTATTAGAAAAAATATTTTTCGTTGTCTTCAATTTTCAAATTACAAATGAATACGAAAACTACCCAAACTGCCTACCTGTGACATTTCTATCACCTTTGTTATAATTTTAAGTATAAGTAAACTTAACTAAGTTGGTTTCATTTGTGATCATAAAGTACATAGAACGGTACTTTGACGTGCTACTGCACTATTACACAGTAATTCACTTTAACGACCTGGACTTTATTCCCGTACACCGTACATTACTCGGAGTAGGCGTAAATGTAATGTTTTTGAAATAATTCTTCATTTTGTATGAGATTCAAATCTAAAAAACAGCTAATAGGTAGACAGTGAAATATCACTGTCTGTTGATCAAGTTCCATTTGGGGTCTTTCCTTAATCAAAAATAAATTATTTCAACTGTTCAATACAACTAAATATTAAAAAATAAACACACTTTCATTAATTGATTTTACCTATAACCAACGTAATTTTAGTATTTAACCAGCAAATTTTAGTATTCAGTTTGACGCTAAAAAACATGACGTCACTATGCACAATCTCGTACAAAATTCATAGAAAACTGTTGCTTTTGACAGTTCGAAAAATGTATTGAATTTGACTAGTTGGCAACTACCCATTTGCTATATATTGAACGGTCCTACCTCTCCAAATATTATTATTAAAAAAGGAGTAACTAATGTTGGTATATATTTTATTACAAAATAATCATTAATGGAAATTAACCCTGATAGCCTCCAGGGTGGTTTTAGTGAGGTAAAAATGCCAGACTAGTATTTTCTCTCCACAAAAGCTAGCCTTTCGAAGGTGTCCCCGTCATAAAAAAACACATAACTGTAAAACATAAAATAAATACATAATTCTCAAACATCTAACAATTTTATACCATGATACCTTATTAAATAATTTCTGTTATATGTAGAAATGAAGGAAACATCATAAATCAATTTTCTTCCGATTCAAATGGATCACAAAATCAAAAAACTTCCAGACTTATTTACATTCCCGTACAGATGTTCGTTGAAATAATGTATATTGAAGTTCACTTGTAAAATAAGGGAAGCATAATTTCAACTCTTTTGAAGATATTATAGATTTGGATCAACGACCGACCTTCAATATAACATTTTTAATTGATTAGTAGTGATCAAAATATAAATTGAGGGTACGGGTTTGAAACCTACCAACGGCAAGTACAACTGTGGCTTCCGAGTTATATGTATAATTATGTACTTTCTAAGATTATCTAGACACCACTGATAAACAGTGAAGGAAAACATCGTAAAGCTTTTAATTTCTAATTATAAGTTTGAAATCGTCAACCCGCATTGATCAAGCGTGGCGATTAATGCTCAAACCTTCTCTGTGTGAGAATAGGCTTTGCTCAGCAGTGGGCATTTATGATCAAAACTGTTGATGATCAAAATATATGCTTTTCCATCAGTAAAAATATTTTAATTCAAAATGTTGACCGCAATACTACTGTTTTTTTTATGTTTGATGGGCCGACGTTTGACCACTATCTCGCTTGGTGGTAAGCGATGATGCGGTCTACGATGATAGTTACCAAGAATATATTACAAACTCCACTACATTTTATGTAATACAAGAAACTCTCGTTCAACATTCGTACTTGCCACAAGGCGCCAAACATCTAACAACGCACTAGAGAAAAAAAATGAACAGGATAAAACCACTACATAAAAATACACCATTCATAATCATACAACTTTCTACAAGTCAATATGATTAATTGTCAAGAACAAATCGTGGCTCTTATTACATAAGACAATAAGGTCGAGAACCACATCAATGGCCGACCATGACATCGTTACGGTTTTTTACACGCAACTTTCAACACACATATCCACCTACAACTGTATCATAATCTTACATAAGAAGTTCGTTGAAACAAGTATAGTTATTAAATGTTTGGGTCCGAACTAACTGGTGTAATTGAGGCCAGCAACGAAAGCAGTTTGTATAAGTTTTGGGTTTAGGTTGATATTTGCAAGATATGAAGTTGAAAGTAGGAAGTGTTTTTGGGTCATATTTACAGTTCTTGTAAATGTGTTAAGTCACACGTTGTTTAAATGTAATAAAAATTTATGAGTTATTTAATAGTTTCACATCACATCAACAGCCTATAAGTGGCCAGTGCTGACCAAAGGCCACTTCCACACGGAGAAGAAACAATTAACTAAAAAAAAACAGTAAAATAAAATAAAACAGTAGGTAAACAAATTTATAATCATTATTTATGATATGACAGTATTGATTCTAGTACAGAAAAAACCCAGACCCGTGCGTACGGCGCCTCAAAGAGCCATCAAAACACCACAGATGGGGCCACAGATGATGGCAGCCGCTAAAGGCCTAACGGGTTGCCGGGGCTCCGGCTCGAAGAGCAAGATTAGGAACGGGGTTCGTTTTTAGTCAGTAAGAGTCTGACACTCTCTCTGACCTAACCCAAGGCGAAAGAAGTCATAGAATGATATTAACCCCTCAAAAAAACAAATAAACAATACAAATAATAGGAATCAACCGAATAAAAAAGGATTCGCTAATCTACTGATATTTTTATAACATCACAATATTTATAAAAATTTCTGAACTTGACATGCTTTACACGTCAGCTTTTAATAAACAACTACTAAATAAAAACATTATAAAAACCAACTTTCTCAACCACTTTCAATCTACAATTAGCACTATACAAATTATAATATAAAATGTACTGCGATAATTTCGCCATAGTTCCGCGCTTGCGCACCTCTACCTAGTGAGAGGGGATCGCACGCATGCGCCGTCTTGTCACGGACGCCCGGAGTTGCGCAGTGCCACCGAAAGTGCAACTGTTGCTCGAATGATCTAGTCACCAGTTTAGTAGCAAGTACTAATAATATTAGGCTTATACAATTATATGTTTAGCTTTTTGAATTCTAATTAATAAATGGACTAAATGACAAACTGTCACGTTTATTCTAGGTGTGATTAGTAGTTAGCCTTTTAGATCGACAGCATGCTTACTTGATAATTTGATTGATACATTGAAAAATAATACGAGGGTGCAGGTTCGAAACTTACCAACGGCAAGTACCAATGTGACTTTTTCTGAGTTAAATGTACTTTCTAAGATTATTTAGACACCACTGACCAACGGTGAAGGAAAACATCGTGAGGAAACCTGGGCTTATAATTTCTAATTATAAGTTTGAAATCGCCAACCCGCATTGAGCAAGCGTGGTGATTATTGCTCTAACCTTCTCCATGTGAGAAGAGGCTTTGCTCAGCAGTGGGCATTTATAAGCTGTTGATGATGATGATGATGATTGAAAAATGATAACACATTGATAGATTAAATTCAGTCTATTAGCATAATCAACTACACATATATTTTTATGTTCTTTTTTCAATGTATTTTATATCAATTTGATTATGTTTCGAAACAATATAATACGAATCCATAAAGTATGGGAGAGCCATGCTTCGGCACGAATGCGCCGGCTCGACCGGAGTGATACCACGGCCTCACAGAAAACCGACGTGAAACAACGGTTGCGTTGTGTTTCGTCGTTTGAGTGAGGTTACCAGAGGCCCAATTCCCCCTCCTCCCTTCCCAAGTCTTCCCAATCCCTGAATCCCCAACAATCCTCAAATTCCTAATTCTCAAAACTCCACTTGTAACGCCTCTGGTGTTCCTGGTGTCCATGGGCGATGCCGATTGCTTATCATCAGATGATCCGTCTGCTCGTTTACCGGCTTATCCCATGTAAAAAACATTTTAAACCACAATAAAATACGTGTACCATTTCTCGATAAAGTAACTACCTACAACAAAATAGGTACATCTTATTCCTCAAGGTCCTTTAATGCCCTTGAAAAATCATCTCTGAAGACTATTGACATTAAAATGAAGTGCTGCTCCTCACGGCCCTAATAAGGCCAGTCTTATCCAATCATGATATAGCCCTTAAACACTAAAAGGTCACCGAATATTGTCCCATTTCTGGTAAAGATATTGTTTTTTTTTGTCTTTATTAGCCATAATAACTATTTTAATTAACGATGGCAATTAGATGTTTAGAAATCAACATAATATTTGTTCTACCCAACAATAATGTTGTGTATACATCTATATAGATAAATAAAATAACCAGTAACCTATATTTGTACCCAATACATTGTAAAGTAATTAAAACATATTGTAATTGCATTTAATTAAAATCTTCTAAGAGAAATCGTCAGCTTAGGTACTT